ATTCCTGCCATGAATCTCCTGCCCTCCACCCACATATTCAACAACACAGAAAGAAACATGCATGTTAGGTTAATTGGTGATTCTCAATCTGCTATGGATGTGAGAAGGATAAAGTGCTTAAATAGTACAGAAGAAACATGTACTGGTCAAATGCAACTCGTTTTTTGAAGCACTTTGATCGGTCACTAAAAAAATGCGACACATAAATAGCAGGCTGTTTCTATTTAAAGCTTTTTATTTCACGGTTTGTGTGTCCGTAATTGTTCACTGCAGCAGTAACAAGTGAAAAACTGAGGAGGATGTTGATAACGAGCTTTGCCGTCTTTCACACTAAAAATCAGCAGCACCGTCTTTGCTGTGACTTTTACACTGAGGTTAATCAGTTGTGAGTAGAAAACGTAGATGGTCCACTAGTTGAGTCCACCACATCTGCAGACACATCGTTCACACCTTATATCAGACCGTTAACAGACTGTTCCCTCAGTTTCTTAGAGTGTAAAGCTTTTTTAAAGATGACATTCATGACAACGGATGAAGGTGACTGTTAGCTGAAGAGTAAACAAGCACAAACGTAATCAAGTTTCTCTTTTTTCCAATAATGAACACTATTGATAGTCTAAAACTAAAACTACACCACAGATTGGCTTTGAAAACCACGTTTAGCTTAATTTAAAACTGATTTTCAACAACCTGATTGAATGCACAGTATAAAAACATTTAATGAATGACTTATAACACACTATAATGAAGGCATACACTTGTATAAGAACATTTTAACGGATTATTACTTGTCATAATTTATTTCACCATTCATTTCTTACTCCTCTTTCCTGCTGTGCTAATGACTGTTGACCTAAAGGTTTTAATTAATGAATAATATACCAACATAAACGCCTTATTTAACCTCCTAGGACCTGACGTCCACATATGTGGACGTCACATTTTGGGTTATTTAGACCAAAATACTAAGTCTTGCTCTTCAAGGGCCTGATATCCACTTACGAGGACATTATACTGCTACTGTTCTATCGAAATTTTAAATTAATATCCTCATATGTGGCTCTGATTTTTCTTAGAAACAAAAATTAGGTAAAAAAAAA